CTATATGCTTAATCCGGACCAAAAGCAGTAACTTAGCACTTAGGTGAAATCAATGTATAGTCGGACTCAAGACCGTCTGTAGTTTGTGTATCCTTAAGTTCCCATTTCTGAAAGGAAAGAAACTATAATGGATTCGTAATGATATATATATATATATATATCTGTACTTCTGCTCAGGTAAGAGGAACTCGAATCAGAGTTGGGGGCATGGCAAAGGGCTCTGGGATGATTCATCCTAACATGGCAACAATGCTTGGTGTAAGTATCTTCAGAATTCCTCCCGTTTCCACTTAAGCAGTGAGAGTAGCTTACTGGATTCGAGCAACTACGCAGGTGGTAACTACTGATGCCTCGGTTACAAGTGATGTTTGGAAAAAGATGGTACAAGTTGCTGTAAATCGAAGTTTTAATCAAATTACTGTAAGTAAGAAATTTTATATTGTTTTAATAATAAAAAAACATTATTCTGATCATGCATGAGGACTGGAGTTCAATGGTAGAAATTTTCCCTGAGTTGCATATGAACATTTCTGGTGTATTTAATTATCAAACTAAATTTTGAGTTCACTGAAAGTTTAATTGTCAAATAGATCAAAATTTTAAATATTCTCCTTATTCTATTTTCCTTTCTTCTCTGGCAATCTATATGTAAATTTATTGAAGTAAAGCTTTAGATTCATGAAACTTATGCAAGTTGTTTCCACCTGGTTTGTGGGTCTGAGGAAGAGAGATTGATGCCGTGTGGTTTTGCTACATCAGTACTGGTAGAAGGTCTTTCGCATGATATATCTGAGACGTATTATTTTTTCTGTAATGTTGAGCAGTCTTGTGTTAGTTTTTTGGTTGCAAGTTTAAGTTGTGTGATTTTATCAAATCCATTTCCCTATAATGCTAATAAACTCCCTGATTGATTTGACTCAGCCTGTTCACATATTTCAAATGAATTCATGTTCATTTGCTTTGTGTACTGCATTTCTGTTTATCCTCATAATAGACACAACAATGTATTCAATGACTCTGTTGCATGATCTAAATCCAGGAGAGCATATATTTTGACAGGTCGATGGAGACACTAGTACAAATGATGCTGTCATTGCTCTTGCCAGTGGACTTTCAGAATCATATGAGATTTCTTCTTTGAACTCCTCCGAGGCAGAACACCTACAAAACTGCCTTGATGCTGTATGTGCAATAATTTCCTTTATTTTCTTTATTCTTATCCGACTAGTCTATCTTGACCAGGATAGTGTGTTCGTAACTAGGTTGTGTCCAGTTCTGTCTCCTTACAAGTTTCTGTGAAATTAGCATCTTCAACCTGCCATAAAGTTTCTCTTATTTACCTCTTTTGTTGTCTTATAAGATAGTAGAAGAGTCAAATTTGTGATGAAATGGACTTTCAGCATGATGATTTCGATTCATGTTTCTATAACTTGATCTTTGTGTTGAATAGTTCAGCCTGGACACTCTTTTGTCATGGGTTTCGCCATAATGGATTGTATGCCAATCGCTTTCAAGCAAGAGCATTTATATAGCTTAGCAAAATTACTGGTCACAAACGAAGATTCTTGTGACCTGTGAAGTATTATGAACATGATAATAGAGGAATTTCCAGATAACTCATCAGGAAAAAAGGTATATCCTTATAGCTTGCAGGATTGACTCGATTCCACTACAGGTAATGCAGGGTCTAGCAAAATCAATAGCTTGGGATGGCGAAGGAGCAACATGTTTGATTGAGGTCTGTATTTCTTTATTAAATTCCTTATGAGCTTTGACCAACTTCGATTTGCAGTCTTGTTTCTTAAACATGCATAAGCTTAGCAACCAACTGTAGAAAAGTAGTTCTCATCTTATTTTCATTTATGCTAACCTGATCATAGACGAATACTAGAAAAGAATGATTAAACAGATGGCCGAGTAGCTGAGGTATAGGAGTAAGAAACTAGAGATCCAGGTTCGGATCCCTACTACAACACATGGTGTGAGTTCATTTTCTTCAGCTTTGGTGGGCATGTTTACTGGGGATGTGCTTGTGGGTTGTAGCACTCTGTCGGGTGGCAATCAAGGTGCGGTCCAGACAGCGTCATAAAAAAAGAGAACGATTGAATGGGTTATCATAGTTGAGCTTGTTAAGGATAAATTTAAAAGAATAATTTGAAGGTATCAAAGATGAAAAAGGATATCTTGTCTTGGTCATAGAAATAAATACATGTAAATTGTCTTAGTTCATTTCCCAGCAAAGGGCACCCAAGGGTGTGGCAAAAATGGTCAATGAAGTGAGATGAGAGCTATGAAGTCTCATGTTCAATTCCTAGTGGAGGCAAAAACATTAGGTAGTTTTTCCGCATATGTCCAAGTCTTAGTGAATAAAGTTACCCGAGTACCTGTGTTGGTAGGAATAAGTTACCCGAGTACCTGTGTTGGTAGGAGTTGGGAGGTAACAAGTACCCCGTTGAATTAGTTGAGGGCGCGCATGGTTATACATATAACTAATATAAGTAGAAGGTCATGAAAGAAATTTGCATTATCTGATGTTTATACCAATACTGGAAGATGGTAGCTTTGCTATATATAAGGAAAGAAATCAAGCTATGGCGGAGTGCTTGATCACAATGCAGGTTATGGTAGGGTGAAGGTACTAGTGTTTTAAATATAGGATACACAGAATATTAATTCTTTTTTTTTTGGTTTGACACTAGATTTGAATTCCTTTGTCACTTGGCATGATAAAGGACACTATCTAAGTGGAGAAGGGTAAAAGGACAGGTCCATTATCCATCGAGTTTCAAACTGCACGCCACTCGCCCTCCAGGATTTCTCGGTTATAAAAAAAAAAGGGGACAATCATGTGTTTTCAGTTGAAAAAATGTTTAAAATGTGGCTTCTTAATCTTCCAGTTCATTGATGAGCATATATACACGAGGTTCTAGAATCTCTTTTTTTATTTTTAAAGTTTTGCTCGTCTCTAATTGGACATAGGTGAGGGTTGATGGTGCTGATAAAGAAGCTGAAGCAGCAAAGATTGCACGTTCAGTGGCTTCCTCTTCACTTGTCAAGGTATGAAATGAATTAGTTTGCATATCTACTTGGAGCTATCTAGAAAGTACATTTTACTGATACTTTCCTTTCTATAATCAGGCTGCTGTATACGGTAGGGATCCAAATTGGGGTCGTATTGCTTGTGCTGCTGGCTATGCAGGTATTCCTTTCAACACCGACAAGCTTCGGATATCACTTGGAGATATTGTGCTTATGGAAGCAGGGCAACCACTTCCATTTGATAGGTATGGAGAACAATACCCCCCATTTGTATTGCTTTATTAGGCATGTGCCCTGGAATTGCCTTCTAGTGTCAGTTCTTGTCTCTAGAGAGAACTATAACGCTTCTTAAACAGACGCCTACAAGCACACTAACTAACTCATTTTGGTTAAGTTTGATGCTACTCTGATTTTCTGATCAATACATAACCAATTCCTTTAGCTCTTGAATGCTTAATTTTCCTGGTGAGGCCTTAGCCATTATAGAGCATAAAATAGTTCTTTTGTCTTGGATAATATCTCAACCTCAAATTAGTGGTTCTTGCTCCAGTATTCAGTAGGATGCTAGACCTAAAGTACATACCACCTCATTTATATTGCTCTATACGCTTTAGCACGTGATGCTCTTCCATAGATTTTTTTTTCCTTTCTCTTTTTGTTTGTCTCTCTTTGGACATCATAATCTTGGGTCTTTTTGCAGAGTTGCAGCTAGCAATTATCTCCGAAAGGCTGGTGAAGTCCATGGCACTGTTGAAATTCAAATATCTATTGGTAAGTTTAACATAAACAGGCATATTCACATTGTACTTCCTCTGCATTGGTGTATCGTGATGAAACTAAACCAGCTCCATGGCATCACAACATAACTTTAGAGATATAAGTACCCAGAAGACTGTCCCTATGCAAACTAGTCTTTGAATAGTGCATTGACTTGATTATCTATCTAAGATGACATGAACTGAGACTTGTTTCCAACATGCTCGACAATCACTGTTGCTTGAGATGTTGAGATCAGTACTACCTCTTGTTTTTTCAGACTTGACAGGGCATCTTTTCAACAACTATTCTTAACTTCTTGTCACTGCAATTATCATTTTGATTGCTCCCCTCTCTACCTCAATATAGGAGTGAGTGTTTTTAAAAGTTTACCTTCTTGATCTCCATGATAGTGAAAACGGTTCATACATTCAGGTGGACAGGATAATATCTATCTGCTCTACATATGTGCATATACAGTTTCCAGTGCGACTTTAGTTTGATAGTGTCTCCCACCCCCTTTCAAACTACGAAGCCCTCTGATAATGGGGCAATGTGTGTTCTTCCATAACACTTTCTTATCCTCCGGTTCCACCTTCTGAGGTTCAACAAAGACGACTCAATGTCACTACTACCTTCATCTGAACATCTGCTTTGTTCATGTTTCATGGATTCGTTTATATCCACTGTAGTTTTGTGGCTTCTTTGCGATGTACGTATAAATTTCAGTCGAGTGTTCTCCATGTGCAGGTGATGGTTCAGGAAGCGGACTAGCATGGGGCTGTGACTTGAGTTATGATTATGTCAAAATTAACGCAGAGTACACAACATGAAACAGGACGTGTTGTTCAAAGATTGAAGTCTCTCCTAATAAAGCAGCTCAGGCTCAGCCATTGTTATTGGTTCTGTAGTTGTAAAATTCAAATGCAAAGTAACATGTATGGATACTGCTGGAACCAGCAAAATTTTGCTATAGATTGACAAAACTTCCCAAGTTGTTATTTCATCATTTCACACATCTTATAAACTAGAAGCTCCTATGGCATGTACCTTAAATTCAGCGCGCGGCGTCCATTATTTTTATAAATTTGTATCTTATTTATTTCCAAGTCTTGTTACTGTGATTGGCTTACAGATTTTCATGATCAAAATCTCAAAATCAGAAAAAAAAACGCAATGAAACAACTTTAGACAATTTGCTCAAACAAACTACAAACATAGCTAAGCAAAAAGTAATCCGTCCATTCAACAGGTCAAAAGTTTATAAGGTTTTTAAGTACAAAAATGCCAACAACTCACACAACTCAGTTAAGCGTCAAACTTATTTATTTACAGAACTACAGGAAACAATCGAGAAGAACACACACCAACGGATCAGAAAGGAAGCTCATGAAGCCTTTGCAACTGGGAAATGCAACTTTGTGACAGATTTCTTTAGGAAACTGCTACCACAGAATGAATCCGGGGGGCTGCCGATATCATAATCCATGGCACCAGCCTGCAGCCCACTAGAATGAGCAGTAATGTTATCCTCCAGAGAGTGAAAGCTAGAACAAGTCATTATGTCGTTATCCTCTAGAGGATAATAACTCCTCCGGGTACTTCCACCATGTTTGCGACCTTGTTTCTTGTCTTTACCTTTGCTCCCACGTGAAGATTTGCCATTACTTTTCTGCTTGTTCTTTCCATTCTTCCTGTGGTCACTCCTGTGGCGTTGTACCTTGTTTGGCACATGTGAAACTGCTGTCGGGATAGGGTCATACACATCGGGAGCCCATTTCACAGACAGCTTCTTGGGTGCTTTGCCTTGTTTCTCACGGCTACCTTTAATGGCAGATACAAGCGTCAAAGCTGTCTGAGAGAATAAAAAAGAAGGGAAAAACACAACTGTTAACCAACAATATAATGAGAAATAACTTAATAGCTCAACCCTGAAAAAATCCCAATACAGTCTCCCTCTGTGTATGAGAGTAATATGCTTCAACTGCTGTTCCAAAATACTGTTGTTTCAGCCTTGATAACAGAGTCCAGAGCCATGAGTAAATAACAGAGAGATATATAGAGAGAGAGATACAAGGAACCGCAAAACATATGCTGGAAAAAAAATATACTCCCTCTGTCCCAACTTATGTGACACACTTCCATTTTCGGTCCGTCTAAAAAAAAATGCCGCCTTTCTATAATTGAAAACAATGTAACTTTAAATTTTCATATGCCCACTAGTAATTTCCATGGTGTGATTCCTGTTGAAGCATATACTCGGGGTGGGATGGGGGTGGGGGGTCGTGAACTGAGATCAGAATGCATACGGCTCTATTAAGGAATACTGATGTAAGCAGACAACAGTATATTTCCCTATATAACAAAAAATATCCAAAGAGGACTATAATCTTCATTAAAAACAGGGAGTCAAAAGACCTTCTAGGTCTTCTCTATATGTAAGAAACCCTTTATCATTAAAGCAAATTATGCTTGAAATTGGCAATACTCATGCAAGCAGACAACAGTACATTTTCTTATATAACAAAAGATATCTTTAAGTGGACTAAAAACTTCATTAAGAACAGGTAGTTAAAAAACCTTCTACATCTTTTTTATATGTTAGAAACCCTTTATCATTAAAATGAATATGCTAGGAAATTGACCTTAAATGTATAAGGAAAACTCACAGGTGAAGATATGGAACGTGAATAAGGCAAGTCAGTTGATTTAGCATCAGCCTCCTGCTCCTCCTTCCCATGAACCAACTCAGCAGGGGGAGTGCTCAAAGCAGAGCATGGAAATTCTGAGGACTTGATCAAGCATTTTTTTGAGTCTGTACTGCCAGTGTCAGTGTCATTTGCATCCAAATCTTCTTCACTTCCATCTTCCTCCAATGTGTTGGAATCTTCCTTGTAAATCAAGTCTTCACCATCCTTAATATTCAGAGATTCAGTAAAACGGTGCGCAAGATCACTAGCAAAAGGACCTCCTGGAATGCCAGAAGCACAACCAAGAGTCTCCTTTGATGACTCACAAAAGCAACTTATACTTTCAGAGTCGAACTTGTAATTCGCAGAACAAACGGCCATCAATTAAAGAGAGCAGCAAAGATCTGCACAAACATGCACACGTAGTCTCAGCACAAACAAGAAGCAACATTTGTTAGAAAAGAACAAAGATGTTACAGTTATACAACTGAACTTCGAGGATAATTAATTGCACGTTGAACTTAACCAGTCATCTCAAAGTTATCAATATATATTTTTTAGATCCTTCAAGATTTGATCCATCTATCATGACAAAGAAGCAAATCTAAAGTCAAAAAAAGAATGCGCATTGCTTCTCATAACATTAGTTAATAGGGATGCTGCACCTCAAACAAATACTTCCAAAATTCTGGCTAGTCATCTTCAATTTAGAGTCATGACCCTATATAGGAAGGTATGGGGTCAAGGACAAGGGTAATAGGTAGCCGAGTGTTGTTGTACTGTTATGTGGGAGAGGTAGGGGGCAAGTCTCCTCTTCTCCTTGTTTAGTATTCTTAGTATTTGTATCATATCTTATTCTTCAATTTTCACTACTACGTATTCTTAATTTGCACCGTTTATCTAGCTATTTTGTTGCCATCAATTTCCTCTCAATCCTACTTTGACTACATATTTTTTAAGCCGAGGATCTATTGGAAACAGCCTCTCCACCCCCACAAGAATAGGGGTAAAGTTTACATGCATCCTATCCCATCCCCCGAGACCCCACTTGTAGTATTAACTATCTATCTTTAAGGCAAATATTGCACCCTGCCTATAAGTAATCTGCCTTAAAAGTTAAAAGTATGGATTTCTGATCACCACACCTAGTTCATCATTACAAGAATTAGCCATCACAGAATCCAAACGTTACTAGAACTGATCAATTATAAACTTTATGCATTATCTAGACATAGATCGGAAGCAAGATAACTTTTTTCTACCCAAAACAGATATTATGTAATTTAAATAACCATAAAACACCAATCAGATCAACAACCAGATCCTATAATTGCAAAAAACAATCAAATCACAAATCATTACCTTTCAGTATGTCGATATAAAGCAAAATCACGCAAATTTCCACCAGATTCGGCTACAACTACTCGGAAAAAGATCTGATATAGCTGAAAAATCCCTCGAAACAAACAGAAAACCAGCAGATAGCAACTGAAACAGCAACGCAGAACAAAAAATAAACAGACGAAGATAAATTAAACGTTAACTAAAACTATTACGCCAAGGCTTCAAACGATGAGAACACAAAACGCCATAGAAAGAAGCAGCTTGAGGTAAAGTCAACAGATCCAATAGAAAAGGCGACACCGAATGCATCGTAAGGAAGCGATGCCCTTCGATTTCCCACCGCCACCGCCACCAAAATCCCTAATTCCCAAAAAACAAACCTCGATTCACCTCCACACAACAAAATCTCAAATTACAGTGATCGAAATAATGGATGAAGAAGATTGAATTGCTCGAATTTCAAAGAAGCATAACCAGAAAACGAGTAAATCGGATCATTATTATAGCCCTAAATTACCATCGAATTCAACGGAAGACCAAAAAAATGAAATTGGGGAGATATGGGAGAAAAAGACAAATATTTATATTTATAGGGTACTCCTTTATAGTGTATTCAATACGTTAAAAAAAAATGAAAACTATAGTTGTTGGTTGGCTAGGGATTGTGGTGCGGTGGTGAGACTCGACGGGTTCTGTGGTGTGCAATTTGAATTTAATCGGGCTTTAATGTAGGCATTCAAATGAGTCTTGCAGTAGGCGATCCAAATTTAGTTGGTGCTCTAATGCGGTAGTTGGAGCACCAATGTTTGCTCCGGACACCGAGTGAAAAATCAAAAGAAAAAAGATATATTTGAGGATTAATTTTGGGATAAAATTTATAATTTTTCTGTTTTTTTTTAAAATAAATTAATTAAAAGTGTGTTTAGTATAAGTGATGAGATAATTAATTATCAAATTTATTTTAAAATGAATTTATCTAAAGTAAAATAGTGGGATACTTTATTTTGAGAATAGCTATTTCACAATAGTAATGTTATTTTTTCGTATATTGAGGATGGATAACAATCCTAGATAATAATCTTGGGATAATTAATTTATGAATAACTTGTTGCCCAAATAACGAGTTTAGTTTCTAATTTATCTTTATTTAACCATAGTTGTTTCTCCAATGTATTTTACAAGCAAGTGAATTAATTATAGAGTTTTCAAAAGTTAATATAATACTCACTTTCTTTATTTTTACTTATATCATATTTGAATTTGATATATTTATTAATAAAATAATAATTGACAACACTATTTTATCATATTATTTCTATGTTTAATATTAGTCTTGAAAAATAATTAAAGCTAAGCGTAAATATATGAAAAAATAATTAAATTTTCTTGATAGGTTAAAAATGACAAGTAACAAATAGTGAACAAGTAAAAATAAATAGACAGAAGATAATTATCATTTTATTTATTATTCATAGGTAAAGTTAACATACAAGTAAAAAGAAATAAATAAAATAATCCATTTCGATGAATTTATATTATCAGTCAAATATAATATAAAGTTCATCTCAAATTATAATTTCACAATAATTTAGTCTGTCAGTAAAATATTACTGAGTCAATGAATGTGACATGGCTAATCCTGTTCGTACACGTGTAAGTATAGCGAGATTTCATTTTCTCAGATGCAGATATTTATGGAACTTGGGCTGGGCTTCAATATATTCCTCATTGGGCCCCGTATATTACAATGGGAAAATTAGTAATTAAGTCATAATACCTAACATAATTAGTCAAAATAACAACACTTTAAATTATTTATTTAAAATGGCAGAATGACAATATTTTTATAAAATAATATGTATTCAGATTTTCGTATTTAAAATTAATTTTATTTATGGAAAGAGTCCTATATTGGACCAAATTATATACCAATAACCGTTTAAAGAAAAAAAAAATAAACCAATACACATTAACCTTTTTTCAACTCCATTCACGTTTCTTCCCCACCTTTCAAGTTTCAAGTTTATCTTTCTTCAAGGTGCTAAATTGTTGTTCATCAAGAAATCTTCTTTATTGTTAAATGAAATCTATTTATTAATTCAAGCAGATTTATCGATTGGCAAGGTAATTTCCATTATCCATTTTGATTTGATGTTTAAATCACCGATTCTATATATTACGGATTTTCAGTCGAATTTTTCAATTTTTATGTGATTTTGTTTAGTTATTCATCAAATAGTTATGATTTTCATTTTTTTTGTGATCTTCTTTTAATTTTTCAGATTTTGGAGAATCTAGAAATTCATATATGTATGTTTATTTTGTTTAGTTATTCATCAAATACATTCTAATTTTTGATAATTTCGAAATTCAAATTATCAAAAAATTTGTCTTCATATTTGAGATTTAGTAGATTGTAGTAACTACATTAGCACACATACATCATATATTGTTTGATTTTTTTATACATTCATATTTAATAATTTTGAATTTTGCTTATAGGGTTACTAATGCACAAGTGAATACAGATTCAGATTCGATTTTGATGGAAAAAAACGAAAAAAAGAACATAGGAGATGAAGAAGAAGAAGAAAGACAGTCAAAGAAGAAGGTTCCAAAATTGTATTCATACCACAACTGTATTCCTATTAATTTTTGTTTGTCAATTGTTTTTCTTTTACTCATCATTTGTATTTTTATTTTAAAACATTGTATTTCTTTTTTAGTTTGTAGTAATTTAAATAGGTATATAATGTATTCGTCACAATTCTATATCTTATGATTGAATACATAATTTATAGAATTGTGACAAATGCATTATAAGAAGGGAAATGAAAACTTATTGGTATTCATTTTTTCGTTTGAAATACAAAATCATACTGAAATACAACCTGATATTTGAAATACAAACTTAGTAAGACATATTTTGTATTTTATTTGGCTAAAGCAATATAATTTTATGAATACATAATATATAAAATTGTGCGACGAATACATCACAAGAAGGGAAATACAAAATTATTGGTATTCATTCTGCGTTTGATATACAAAATTATATTGAAATACAACATGATATTTGAAATAAAAACTAAGCTAGAAAATATTTTCTGCAAATTTAAAGTGAAATAATAATATAACAAAATTGGGTATTGAAATATAAATACAATTTATTTTGAATAAACTTATTCTATGTATTATATATGTATTCATCGCAACTGTATTTTTCAATATCATTTCGATCTACAACTAATTTGTATATATATTTTGGTATATACTACACAACTGCCTTTATTTTTGTACTTGAACTAGAATGCCAAAGAGTTGTATTCATAATAAATCAATACCAACATTTTTTGTATTTTAAATTAGTTATACATATCATTAGGTATTCGAATACATTTCGGATGAACACATATTCAAAGAAGTTCAAACATTTAAATATCCAAAACAGAGGGCATTAGAAATTTTCCAACACTTCCACTCATAAAAGATATAAAATACTAACTACTGTTTCCAAAAAAAAAAATGAAATTCTTAAGAACAAAGAAAAAAACACTAGAAAGAAAAATGGCAACATATGCTCTTTCAAAAATGTAACTGATGTTAATTTTTTTTTAAAAATTACCTTTTTTGAAATTTTTTGTTCCATGATTTTCTCTATTCAGTTATTATTTATTTGTATTCTTTCAAATTAATCAAAATAAAATAAATACATAACTCAATCCTTAACAAACTAAAATATTGACATTTTAAATAAATAGTGAAACTATTGCTAAGGAGTCCCATTAAAAGCTAAAATATTGTTGTTTTGAAAATTTTCCCTATTACAATTCAAATCGAGATCCACGATTTAAAGATTAGGTGTATCTGTCGGATTTCAGTTTCATCTAACATAATTTGATATAAACACGGAGGGGTTGTTTGGTACAAAGATGCATAATGCAGGGATTACTAACGCATGAATTGGTAATGTAGGGATTAGTAATGCAGGGTTTAGCAATGCAGGGATTAGATTTTATCAACCGTTTGGTTCATTGTTTCTCACCTAATCTTATGTCAAGTTTAAAACTCTTATTAAAAGTTTATTTTCTATTATACCCTAAGTTATTTTGAGATTTTATATTTCATTTAATTAGTCAAGTTAAATACTAAAGTATATATATATAAAATATTATTAATTTTGAGGTGTGATATGTCACTATAGAGATACTTGATAGCACGGTATATATTTTAATTTTTTGTTGGTTAAGTATTCCCTAAACTTAACATAGATTTAACGCTACTTAAATTGTTCAAATACGCTAAGCTTATTTTTTTTTTTTAAAAGAAAAATTACAGAAATCTCACATTTTAGTTTACTTATTATCATTATCCCCTATAAGTTTTACAAATTTTCAAATTGTCTCATTTTCGCGCATCAGATTAGTGTATCTCGCGCATCAGATTAATGTATCAGCGCTTATATTATCGTATCTCGCGCATCAGATTAGTATATCATGTATAAAATGTAATGTATCTTACTTAACAATTATTGTATCTCGCGCATCAGATTAATGTATCAGCACTTATATTTTTGTATCCGTTTGAGGGATTTCTGTAATTATAAACTTTTAAGGGATAAATTGTAATTTTACCTTAAAAGTATGTGATTTATGTAATTTGCCCTAAAAAAAACAAATAGTTCAAGTGGTCAATGGATGAACTACATTTAAAAAAAATAATAAAAAAAAAAACTCAACTCAATATAACAAATCAAACATGGAAAAATATTAGTTTGAAAATCATCAAATTAAATGGAACGAGTTTGGAGAAGTTAAAAGAATATTTATAAATATTCTCATATAAATAAAAAGGAACATTAAATTACAAAAAAAAAATTAGATTTTTTTTTTGGGGATAATCTAGTCATTTAGGGGTCTTATCCAAGGATTGTTAAACATTTGATTAGTTATCCCTCCCCTTTTTAGGGATAAAATAAGACATTGTATGAGGTATAACTAATATATGAATTAGGTCAAATAAAGTAACCAAAAATGTATTTGTTGGACTAAATTTTAATCCATGGACTGTTTTGATTAATACCTCCTACCAAACGGATCCTGAGTGGTAGTATATACAAAGGGGTTGACTAATTTGATATAAATACTAAGTGCTCGTATATACAGAGAGATTGAATAACTAGTCGAGACTTCAACGTGGGCTCTAGACCACAAAAAAAGCCTACATCATTAACCTAAAGAAAAAATTTCATCAAGCATGTTTAGAATTTAATAGAGTAATTTTGTATTGCAAAGTAATTTCTAGCTTATATACGTAATATAATTTTCTTATTAGAACATACCAACTCCCCAAAACCCAACTAAAAGATAGCTATATTCCCATCACTAGCCTTATTTGGTTCATGACAATCCTCCATTCAACGGGGGATTAGCTGGAACAGGGAAGCAACAAAGTTTATGCCCTCGAAAACCCATGTACTACCACAGGAGAGCATTCCAACTCCCCTAAACCCAGCTAAAAGATAGCTATATTCCCATCACTAACCTTATTTGGTTCATGAGATTCCTCGATTCAACGGGTGATTAGCTAGAACAAGGAAGCAAGAAGCTTATGCCTTCGAGAACCCATGTACTACCATAGGAGAGCATTCCAACTCCCTAAAACTCAACTAAAAGATAGCTATATTCCCATCACTAACCTTATTTGGTGTTCATGACAGTCCTCGATTCAACGGGGGGATTGGCTGGAACAAGGAAGCAAAAAGCTTATACCCTCGAGAACCCATGGACAACATTCCATCCCAAAAAAAACCCAACCAAAAATGGCTAAATTTCCATCGCTAACCTTATTTCGGACTATGTGACTGATTTACTGAGAAAAGACAGTAACGACAGAACATTTGTCAACTACCATCAATCCAAAGGCAACACAAGACCAAAACATAATTCTAAAACTTCACTATTTCCTTCACATATAGCCATTGAAGTAATAATTGATAAAACTGCAAATGATTTGTTTTACAAAACATAAAACAAGTACTTTTAAGCCTTACTACAAACAGAAAATAGATACCAAAACCTACGTACATTGACAGATTATTTGAACAAACACAAGTCATAAAATCCTAAATCATGCAACTTTGGTAGAGTGTCCATTACGAGAAGTGTTGCTCTTCACAAATTTAAGCCTTTCGTGGTGATTTGGTAGCCTTAGATGGTGATTTAGTAGATTCTTTTCCAACTTTATCAGATTTCTTAGGCAGAAGAATTGGATTGATGTTAGGAAGAACACCTCCATGAGCAATGGTTACACCAGCTAGAAGCTTTCCAAGTTCTTCATCATTCCTCACAGCTAACAAAACATGCCTTGGTATAATTCTGTTCTTCTTATTGTCTCTCGCTGCATTTCCAGCCAATTCCAAAACCTACACAAAGAGAAGACAAATCAACACCAATACACTAATTGTATTCAAGCAAATTAGAAACACTCTTAGAAGCAAAAATTCCATTATCTATAATAACTTCATAGTTAATTCAATCAAATTTTCAAGTTTCAATTTCAAAAATTTATCATCAAACATGAGCTAAAAGTAAAAATTTCCAGATCCCACACTCACTCTCATAATAACCCTAAACCCCATATACTAAAAAAACTCAATTTTAGCTAACAACAAACCCCAGATACTAAAAATTGAAGATTTAGGGAAATATACCTCAGCAGCAAGGTACTCAAGCACAGCAGCAAGATAAACAGGTGCACCACTTCCAACTCGCTGAGAATAACGACCCTTTTTCAAATACCTCCCAATTCTACCCACCGGAAACTGTAATCCAGCCTTAACAGATCTTGTAACTGACTTCTTCTTTGGACCACCACCTTTTCTTCCTCCAGCACCCTTCTTCTCCATTTTTTAGCTCAAAAAAACTGAACCCCAAATGATAATTTCAATGAATAATTTGTATTGCTTTCGTTTGAATTGATTGTGATTGAATTTGAGTTACAGTAAGCTGACGTTTTATATATGAGGTTTGTGCTTGAAGAAATGGACTTTCTTTGGAGAAGAGTATTTTGAGCCGTTCGATTTTGGGATAAATCTACGGCTGTGAGATGAGAATGCTGACGATCCGTGTGATTATAAATTGACAAATGAGAGGAGAACACGTGTGACTTTGTTGAGTGATGTTGACAGACTGGATAAGCTAAGCTTTTAGGTTTCCTATAAATAATTGAAGGACTCACAAAAAATATATACTAATATAGTAAATACCACAAAATCAATCAAATTAATAAATCAAGTCTAATTAATTTAACAAATCGAAAATTGATTTAAAATAATTTGATTCATTTTTTTTCAAAAAAATAAAAAATAAAATCAAACTTATTGCTATATAGATACAAGAATACTACATATTTAATATAATTTCACAGAGGTCGGAAAAAAGTAAAACATACGCAGAACTTAGCAACTCGTTTTGTAAGTTCATTTACTATACACAAATACATAGAGCCGTCAAAATGGGATTAGCCCATAGGATCAGCCCAACCCAACCCGTTATTAGGATAGGATTGGAATAAGATTTTTCAAACCCTTTAAAACTAGGGCGTATAAGTCTGGTCCATATAAGCTCTTGACCCTTTAGGCTTGATTGGGGACGGACCGGGGTCGGGGCCAACACTTTTTATTTAAGGGTAACTTACAATAATCTCACTAGTATATAATCTAATTACTTAAATACAAGTTATGTTGTAATATTATGAATCTTACCAGATTTTGGTACGTCCAGATACATGTATCTCGAAATATATGGACTCAAAATTAGGTTAATTTGTTCTAGATACACTTTATCCAAGTAGATTCGCATTTATCTAGGATACATAGACAAATCTCGCACTCACGCCTCCCTCCTATCTTGTTGTCACTCTCTTATCTCGCTCACGTATCTGGTATGCGAGACACATGCTAATTACACTAAATTTTTTGCTAGTGTTATTGAAACAACACTATTGTTTATCATACTTGATTTGAAAATCTTCTCATTTTTCTTAAATATACAAACTTTATCCTTATTTCGAAAAGGCGGAGAGATATGTTTATGAAAGACTGTCAACTCATATACCACATATCAAAATAGATTTGAATGGAAAAAATAAATAAAAAAATAATGAAGATATCACAATAATAAAGAGAGCATTCTTGTTTAAGGACATCACTAATATTTTTGTACTAAAAGAAAAGATTTTTTTGCCATCTCATCGGCCATCGCTTTCTTACGTGTAATTTAAAATTATGAGTTTTGAAGTAATAATACTCAAAATTTGAAGTTATGTTTACATGTGCATTTTACTTGATTTTTTTTAATTCTATGAGTAGAAGTCCGAAAACTTTGAAGATCACATTTCTTCGCCCAAAAAAATATTTGAAAATAAATTTTAAAATTTGATTCAAAATCTACTAAATAAAACAAAAACTATCCTAAAATGGGATGACTATATACTTCAAATGATATGCCCTTAGACACGACCGTATAGAAATCACACGTAAAAAAGGACAATTAGCTAGAGCTAAAAGCATTCTCTACATACAAAAGCTCCAAAAACATTTGCTTATGAAAGAAGAGTAGCTTATTCTGTAAACAGATTTTCAACCTCCCTTGTAATAAAGAAATTGAAAAAATTAAGAGAGAATTAAAGAAAATAAAGAGCTATTCTCATCTGCTAGGAGTTCCTATTTTGCTTTGCAAATGCAATATTTCAGACCATGTAAGATCACAATTTGCAAATAGCTATTTTAACACAACACCAAGTAGCTTGGGAAAATGAAAAGTAAAAAATCTCCATGCAGCCAAGCGAAAATACGCAGCAAACCTCAAATTGCTTCTTTGGTGTAAAACAGCAAACCTCTAGACCCTGTCAATTTGTAACAAGGAAAACTCAGTCAAGAAGAATGAACAGATACGAGGAGGAACGAGGAAGGAGAGTAAAATATTCTTCGTAGCACAAAAGAACAATCAAATATTAGAAGTGGAGAAATTGGAGAAAAATCAGCTAAAACCACATTCAAGCACACAAGAAGCAACTAGTAAGTTAAAACATCATATAGGACGAATGCATCAAGTGAAAGACAATGGATGCTAACTAAAATTTGGAGAGATAAAGATTTTCAATAAAAATGTCTAGCAAATACGCATGCCTAGAGGGTTAGTAGAGAGTCCCATCATTATATGTACGCAACAGATCTTATGAAGGATCAGCTATGAGATAAATATATTCCTACGGGAGTAATAGAAGTTTCCATTCTCAGAGTATTAGTATTAGACTTCTTTTGTTCCTCATCTTTAGATTTCTATTACTACATGCTATTTCTTTGGCCCTTATTTTCTTCTTGTTGTTTCTGCTGCCTCTTTTTCATCGTTCGTTCAGTCAAGGGTCTATTGGAAGCAACCTCTCTACCTCCTCAACTCGCAAGGTAGGGTAAAGGTCTGCATACTCTACCCTCCCCAGACCCAACATATGGGATTACACTGGGTTTGTTGTTGTTGTTGGAAGTAATAGAAGTCTCTTACTCGGATACGCCTTTGTATCAAGAACTAATATATTATCTTATGGTGTTTTGTAAAGGTTTGGTTCAAATTTCAATAGTTCCTTCCCCACCCCCTACCCCTCGCTTTCAAAACCCATTTCTAGATCAGTCCCTGTTCTTACAATGAAGGGTTAGAGTAAAGCAAAAAATCATAGCACAGTTTCACACTTTGAAGCTCTTAGAGTAACACAATATTGTCAATTTTGTTGTATGATGACCACATTTTGTATAGGGAGAAGACTAGGGATGTCGATATGGCAGGGCATAGGTGGGACAGGGCAGGTCAAATCCTTAACAGGGCAGAGCGCCGCGAGGCGCCAATTAGTGTACCAGGGTAGGGCGGGGCAGGCTAAGACTTAATTTAATGGGACTAGGCAGATGATGGGTCAGGCATTATTTTAAAGCAAAAGAGCTTCTTTGCTGGGAAAAAGTTGGCGCAATATGAAATGCAAGCTTGATCTTAAGACTGCATATTCAGCCTCTATTTTCTACTTCTATTTACTGTTACATTCAAACAATATATGAATCAGCATAAATAAACAGCAATATACTGAATTCCCATCTGTTACCTTCAGCATTAACATATCAATTTTGCACAGTTTTGAACAAATTATATTGGTTATTTACACTTAATTCTTTTTAGTTGGGTTCTCAGGAAAAGCAAACACTGAAGTATGCTGTTGTTGCTTTTAAAATGGAGGAAACACTGAAATACTGATTAGTGACTTGCACCATATTTTTTTTAATTTATAACTAGAATAGTTTAATTATCCATATGTGGGGTTGTTCCTCCTCAATATCTTATATGTGTGCGGACACACAGGAAAGATAATGAAAGAAATTAAACAAACAAGTAAATTTTTAAAAGAATCTGACAAGAATTAATGAGTAGTACACACAAACAGGTTAAAGAAAATGCTTCATCATAGATTATTCGGTGACTTTACTTTCTTGGAAGATCTTTGGTGTAAATTACAATTGAGACAGTAGAGGAGTCAACCCTATATAGTGATGCTAAGTCTCTCTGGCTTCAATGCGTATGAGCACATTACTATTGTACTCCATTTGACATGGATCCAGCAAAGAGCTAACTGTTTTTGTTGTCTTTGTATCATAATAAGGGGTCGTTAGGCTACTGAGATGGGATAGACAAGGATATTCTGCCTTCTATATGGGACAGATTATCCCACCATTTTAGTACAAATGGATATGGGGACCAATTAATACCCATAACCAAAAACGGGATTAAATAATCCCGCATTTATCCAAGTCCCACCAACCAAACAACCCCTAAGAGTTCAGATTATAAAAGCATTACATCAGCACAGTTCAAAGATTAGCGAACACGTTAAGTCACTAAGTGCTGCACTACATAGTTATATTCCTCCTCAGACAAGTTTTGCGGGCTTAGCACACATACGATGTCACTCCAAAGCATCACCTAATATGCTGAGGATAAGATGCTATGTATCTAGTTGTTCATATTGTCTTCAAATGTATAAAATTGCTACTTTAGTATGCTAATAGCCTTAACTCTTAATCCTGGTTCTTGGAAAACTGACATAAGAGAATAGTTTCTTTGAAGATAAATATAAGGGGTCGTTTGGTAGAGTGTATTAGAAAAAATAATGCACGTATTAGCCTTGTCTATTACTAGTACCTTGTTTGGTACTCTTTTTCAACCTATGTATAACTAATGTTTGCATTAGTTATATACTCTATTGTGTATTAAGGTGTGCATTGCTAATACCATGGATTTCTAGGTATTAGCAATGCAATGGTTTTAATGCATGCATTAATATGATAAAAGACTCAATTGCCCCTCAAAATCTTTTTTACATCTTTTCCACCATAAAAGTGAAGGGTATCTTTGTAAACAATTTTTTTAATGCAATACATACAATTTTTAATGCATCAAACCAAACAATGCATTAAAATAATCTATGTATAATTAACACAAGCATAACTAATACATGCATTGCTAATGAAACATTACTAATACACTCTATTTAGCATTATTCTTATACACTCTACCAAACGACCCCTAGCAGTTCGCTCATTCTAATTAACAGCAAACTTAGTGGTGTTCAACCAGAACTACGATACAGAACTCTTTGAGAAACTGGTGGATTTTCATTTATATTGTTGGCGATCCTCTACTCCGAAAAGAAAAATCAGAATTTGACAGAAGGAGTTTTATTTTTGCCCTGGCTTCTGAAGACAAACTTCACTCACCATCCATCTAACCATTTTCCCTTTTTTGTGTTAACGGTCACATTTTAGAGTAGTATACTGCTAAAGATCTCAATATATGGAACACAATTCCTTAATTTGCATCTTGTTATTAACTTCGAAGAAAAGGCTATTGATGTAGGAAAAGTGGAAGTTATCTAAGAACTTGAGGCAGAAATAG